AAAAAAAAAAAAAAAAAAAAAAAAAAAAAAAGGTAAAAGAGTACATTTTACCATTTGAAACTTTAGTCAACCTTCAGTGAACTTATCACATTAGCCGACCCGCTGCAGAATTCCTCAAGTCCAACCGACACGCTAAGTTGCCAGGAGGAAGAAGCTGTGGATCACTTGATGAAACGCCTTGCACTTATTATGATGGAAGATGGTTGGAGCAGACCCACTTTTGCTCGAAAGTTCATTGGTAAGAACTCCGAACCATGGTAATCAACTCATTATGTACATTATGTTATACCTGGTCAACAAAATCTCAATGGTGCCAGTCAAAAGTGATCCATCATATAGAATAGTTCACTGAATACAGCTTGTATTGTTCATAACTTCAGATTCTGAAATCCTTAATTTGGCATTTGATACAATTTGGCCCTTACTACACTATTCGACTAAATATTCATGTATAAACTTTCTTGTAGGCTGCATATATATGTAATATAGTAAAGTTTTATTTCCTTTATTTCATTGTTTCTCTTTATGTTTATTATAATTTTTTTTTTTCTGATGAGCCATTAATGGTATAAAGGGTACAATTGATAGTATATCAATTCAAACATAGTTGAGTCGAACGTATTAGTTAAAGAAAGTAAAGGTAATGTTTTCTCAAGAGACTACCACTTAGAAGAAAAATGGGTTCGAAAAGAATGGCTTGATCATTATATATATTGACTCTTATATCCTACGTAAACAGATGTACAAATTGTAAGTAGGAATTTTCTGTCTGTAACCTTAATATACAACTTAAACTAGAACAATGAATACTTGTATGACTATAGTTTTGAAAAAGAATGTATCAAACTTGGTTTGAAAAGATAGTCTGATAGACAAGCATAATCTGGCAGTGTAGAGCCAAAGATAGTCCTCTGCTGGAAATCCCATTACCATAGGACTCAAAGAGAACACCGAACCCTGGCTGTTGTCTGCTAGAAGTCGAAGAATATGGCCAAAATCAATACACTTTGCTCTCAAACGTCCTCTACGAAAACTTTGAAGACAAAATCACGAAACCGTTTCGAGTATTGCTTTGGATCCACAGCAGAAATCAACGTTGGATCATATTGCATTGACTTGTATGCATGTTCAAGCTTCTTGCTAATGTCATAGTCTTGTAGTATGTCAATTATTCCAAAGAAAAGTATAACATCATACCGCTCTCCTGTGGGTTCCCCAATCAGTTGATTTTCCAAATCACTTTTTCTAATGGTCTTTTCAGCCTTTGCTTCCATGTTAATGCCCAAACTTGTGGAAGCCCACCTGTACAATAATCACAATATAAACGCTGCTTTTAAGAGTTTTCTTTTATGTTCATGAGGTTCTTCTTTCACTCAAAATCACAAATATGAGATTATTGTAACAGTCCAAACCGACCGCTAGCAGATATTATCCTCTTTGGACTTTTCCTTTCGGGCTTCCCCTCAAAGTTTTCTGCTAGGGAGAGGTTTCCACATCCTTTTTCGGGCTTCCCCTCAAGGTTTTCTGCTAGGGAGAGGTTTCCACATCCTTATAAAGAATGTTTCGTTCCTCTTCAACCGATGTGGGATATCACATCAACTTTTATGCAAGTTGAACATATTATCATTGAAACTCCCAAATATGTTACAATTTCGATGGTCTTTTTGTACCTTGAAGTGGCCATTCTCGGTATGCATGAATCTAAACCTAAACCATCATGGTCTCCATTTCCTGTGAAAGAGACCAAAAGAGAGAATTACATAACCATTAGGTGATAACGAATGGCTTGAGCTATGGAAAGAAAGATAAATATAAGACAAGAACTGACCAACGGGAGTACAATTTCCAGACTGATGACCATTAGGCGTGACCGATTCCTGCTGCGAAGTTTCTCGAAAGTGAAGACCGACCAACATACTATAATCCATAATTCTCTCCTGTTCGAGAAAGTCGCAATCCTTGTCGACCTGACTGCATAAATGAAATTCGGAACTTATAATTGTGGGAGAAAAGTAAGGAAGTTTGTCGTTGATGTCTATTGGAAGCACCCTAACCTTACAAGAACATACGAAACAAGAACCCAAAACAATTTAAGAAAATGAAACATAGCACTCTTAAACTCATTGTAACATAGTATCATGTATGATCTATAGCCAGAAACCAGGGTCGAACAGTCAATCATATGGTTATAAACTAAACAACAATCCATTACGTCGATTTTAACGATTTCCAAACAAAGTAGATCCTAAAGCACATCCCAATTGCCAACAGTCTCAAGAGGCTGATAGGATCTCAAGCCATTTTGAGAATATGGGTAGTGATTCATTACTGATCAAATAAACCCCAACACAAGATGTACACATTAGGATCTCAAGTCATCATCGTGAAGATATCTCACTAAACCAGTCTACATGCACATTTTATGGCATAATCAAGAGAAAAGTGCAATTTCCAAAATACAAATAGGTTAGTCAAGTTGATTTAAGAACCATTTTTCTAAACAAGTTTGAAGCAAATTCATTGATTGAGTTCACAATTTTTCTTGTTCTTCCACCAGTTCACATCCTAGCTGAAAATATTATGTTGTGATAGGCAACAGGATCAAAGGATCAAAGAAAGAATAACTAGCAACCAAATGTTTGATGACAAATACGCTAAGTGAAGAGAAATAACCAAGAGATTTACCTGCAAAATTCGTTAAACCAAGCATTTTGCAACCGAAATATATAATTTAAATCAAGATCTTTAAGGGTTGTTGTTGCATCTATTTCTGACTCTGGCTTATCAGTTGTTCGACCAAGGGAAGAACCTTTCAAGTCGAATCGCCTGTGAATAGCATGCTCCGAACAAAACAGATTCCCCATAATGACAAACCGCACCTGTAATTTCAAGACTGTCAAATGAAAGTAACTTGAGCTTCAAAATGATGTTAAAAATTTCCCTCATTACCTTTTTCTGAGTAGTGCCTGTTAATTTCACACAATGAAGACCATAGAATTTGGTAACCAGAGTGTTCTTGAAGTCTTGAACGTGCTTATAGTAGGCTGGTAACATACGTATGAGAACCTGCAATGTATTGTAGTACAAGTTTTAATTCTAGACATGTAACATGCATAGCATAGCATGTCTTTTCAGATTTTGCAGCCTCAGATACAACTATGTCAGTGGAAGCAGCAAGCTGGATCAAACAACATTTGAAAAAGAAGATACGAAAAAAAAAAGAAAATTCAGGGACAACAAGATGAGGAATAGACTAGAGAAACTATATTCTGTTCTCCTTGCAAGATTCAGCTTTACTTAGTAAGGAATTTGATGCAACAAGGACAAGGAAAACTCACTTTTACTTCAGCCTTTCTCATGGTTTTGATCATGTAGCGGTCATCATGGGTTAAGTAAAAGAAGCTTCCACTTTTTCCAGGGGAGGAAAGTTCCCGCAGGGCATCGTTCCCACATATCGATAACATGTAATCCGCTGGATCGACGTTGAACAACTTCCTTAGAGTCCTAAATATGGATATAATGATCCGTGAGGCTCTGCACTATTTCATTCCATTTGTAATAGTGAAGTGGAACATGTATGTATATTTTCTACAAAGAAAAGTTATTTGATCAATATAGGAGTGTAGAGTATTGTTCTGCTGTAAAGGAATTATCATCCTTTGGTTAGGTAGCTCTTAACAAATTCCTATTTTCGATGAGAGGATCCTTTTTACTTAAAAATCCCTGGTTTCCTGGTAGAACCCCATTCCGCCCAAATTGTTGCGAAACCGGCAAAAATCAGTGGTTTTTTGCACATTCTAATTATGAGAAAGGGTCATCCGAGCGTATTTGATATCAACCTCGAACATCTTAGGTTATCATAAATTATGTTGGCATATGATATAGTTGAATAAGAAGATAATTAATGTAACAGCCCAAGCCCACCGCTAGGAGATATTGTGTGCTTTGGCCCATTACGTATCAACGTCAACCTTAGGTTTTAAAACACGTGTACTAGGGTTTCCACACCCTTATAAAGAATACTTTGTTCCTCTCTCTAATTGATGTGAGATCTCACAATCCACCCCCCTTGGGTACCCAGCATCCTCGCTGGCACACCGCTCAGTATCTAGCTCTGATATCATTTGTAACAGCTCAAGCCCAAATATTGTCTGCTTTGGCCCATTATGTATCGTCGTTAGCCCCAGGTTTTAAAACGTGTCTACTAGGGAGAGGTTTTCAACGTGTCTACTAGGGAGAGGTTTTCAACGTGTCTACTAGGAGAGGTTTTCACACCCTTATAAGGAATGGTTTGTTCCCCTCTCCAACCGATGTAGTATCTCACAATCCACCCCCTTGGGGACCCAGCACCCTCGCTGGCACACCTCTCGGTGTCTGGCTCTGATACCATTTGTAACAGTCCAAGCCCACCGCTAGCCGATATTGTTTGCTTTGGCCTGTTACATATCGCCATCAGCCTAAAGTTTTAAAAAGCGTCTACTAGGAAAAGGTTTCCACACCCTTACAATGAATGTTTTGTTCCCCTCTCCAACCAATGTGGGATCTCAAAATCCACCCCCCCTTAGGGACCCTGCGTCCTCGCTAGCACACCTTTCGGTGTCTGGCTCTGATACCATTTGTGACATTACAACCCCACCACTAGTAGATATTATCCGCTTTAGCCCATTACATATCACTGTCAGCCTCAGATTTTAAAACACGTCTACTAGGGAGAGGTTTCCACACCCTTATAAGAAATGTTTTGTTCCTCTCTCCAACCAATGTTAGATCCACAATTAACCTTCTATCTCGAAGAATACAGCTATAGAAGTTGCACAAAACCATTTCCTAGATAACTCACCTAAGAAACAAATGATCATTGCAAAGAAATACAACAGTGATATTCAGAAGTTCTTATTTAATGGCTGACCTGAATACAACTGGGCAGTAATCCTTCCATCTGAAGTCACAGGACTGATGAGGAGGAGTGTACTTAGACCCTTCTGGTGGAAATTTCGTCCAAATCTTTTCCTTTGGATCAAATGCTGAAGCTTTCAAGTCAAACGAAGAGGCAGGAGCTGGCCTTCCAACAGAATGTCTGTCCAGATAAACAAGTAACAATATGGGACAGACACAAATAAAATCTCATAACCTTGCTATCTTTACTTAAACTTGTCCCCAAATCATGTCAATGGTTTCACTACTTAACTTTGGAGGAAATCAAAGAGTTCCAAAGTTATCAGTTTCGAAGATACTCAGTTTGAAATGCATATCAGATATGGCTACAATAGATATCACCAGAAATGATCATTCCATAATAGATAGCTACAAACACTTAGAACTTAGAAGCTTAGTAGTGATGCAATCCAAAGCAAGGATCAAATGAGGAAAAGGAAATATAGAACCACAATGAAAAATGATACCATTTGATGATATACCTGATGCCCAGCTGCAGATTTAGCATAAGTTCATAGTTCTTATGGCCTTTAGATATTGTAACACCTTGACCTCCCTTCAACTGTACTCTGGTCTGCTGTTGTTGTGCATCTCCTTTGGCATCTAGCTCATGAACATGAATATCAAGGGATCTTTCCAGTTCAGCTCTTACAATATCATCCTTACCTCCATCAACATCGGATTCAAAACTATGGGAATCAATTGAATCTCTCTGCAACAAATCTGCTCCTGCCTGGTGCACCGACTTCTCAGAAGGATATAATGAAATCCTTTCACATGGATATATCTTGCAATCACTCAAATCTACATCAAACACCTCATGAGGATCCCAATCCAAATTGTTATCCGTAGACCCAGATGGATAATAAGTCCCAGAATGTTCTTTAGGATTCTTACTCCAAATCCCAACATAGAAGCTCCCATCAGACCATCTGAATGTCCCATTTCCTTTAGGAAACCCATCTTCCCAATACCCATCATACCGCTTTCCATTGCTCCAAATCATTGTCCCATTGCCATTGATCTTCCCATTCCTCCATTTCCCAATGTAATGATTCCCATTCCGCCATTGATACCGGCCATGCCCATTCTGCGAACCACGACGCCATTCACCATCGTAGTAATCGCCATTAAGAAAGCTCTTAATCCCTTGTCCATGCTTCAAATTCATAACCCAATTACCTCTAAATGTATCCCCTGAACTACCCGTGTACGTGCCCTTACCATCCATAAAACCCACCTTGAAATCGCCCTCATAGGTAGCGCCGGATGGCCAGCTGAACCTTCCGATGCCATTTGGCTTCCCTTTACTCCAATCGCCGACGTACATACACCCATCTGTCCATAAGTACTTTCCATGGCCATCGGGAAGCTCCTCGAGCCATTGGCCGGCATAGAAATCGCCATTGGAGAGGATCTTCTCGGCATGGTAGGTGGTGGGGCCTGGTTCATCGTCCGTTGGCACCACAGACATTGTTGTAAATATGGTTCTCGTCTTCTTCCTTACAAGGGTTTGTGATGATTCTCGAAATGAAATTCCCCAGGCCCTCACAATGAAACTCAATTCTCTGCTCATTCTTCTCCCTCTTTCTCTAATTCATTCCCACCACCACCCCCACCCCCACATTCTTCCTGCATATTCAAGATTTGATGATTACAACAGAAACCCAGAAATGAAGAACAGGCTTCCTTTTCTGTGTGTTTCTTCTTGAATGCCTCAAGAACTAGAGAAATCAGTGGTTGTGAAACTGACCCAGATAGTGAAAAACGAAAAGAAGAATATGAATTTGTGTTGGTTGGATTAGGATATATTTCAGAATTTGAAAATGAGAGCAGGATTTGGAATGGCAGGGAAAAACAGAGTTGCAGTAGCTACCAATTTCCCTCTCTTCCTTCTCTCTCTCTGTGTTAGTTGGGTTTGAACGTAGAGGTTCCACACTTTTTACTCTCATTCCGCACTTCGCTCCTAAAACTGCTAACAGAACCAGACGATTAAGGGGAGAAACAAGAATGTTGATGATGATGCAATTGTTTACCATTTTTAGTCTCTTTTTTTCTTTTTTTTCTTTTTCTTCTCCTTCAAAATCATTATTAAATTAGTCTTCCTTTTCTTTATTATTACTAAAAATTTGGCTTAAATTTTGTTTTGAATTTCAACCAAAACTTTGATGTTCTTCTATTTGGATCTTTGAATTTTCAACTTTTTCATTTTTGTTACGATATTTTATAATATAATGAATATTTTGAGCCTTTTAGAACTAAAATAGAATAATCTGATTTGAAATGTTTAATTTTTATCTTAAGGTTATTCATATCATTGATCGAAATATTCAAATATTTAGATTCTTTTATCTTACAGGTAATGTAAGGACCAATTCGGCACATGATAGCACCGACATTCTCAAACAATGTGATCACGTTATTTATTTCTTGTTTTTAAGAAGGAAGACTATCTCTACAAATTAACACGATACTTTGATGATGACGAGGAGGGAAGGAGGAGGAGGCAGTGGTGTGTGCAGTGAGTTGTCTCAGGTGCACAAGAGATGGTGGTGATGGGCTGGACATTGTCTGCGTGCCTCTCACATGGGGCTTTCTTTTCTTGTACTCGCCCTGCATTTAAGGATCATTTTCCCTTCCATTTCTCATTGTCTATCAATTCTTTTTCCTTTTTTTATGTCATTGGACAACTTTGACCACAATCTCGATTACATGCTAACCCTACGATTCAACGTGTTGTTGAACTAAAAAACTTAAGGTCTAAACATAAATGGTGAATTTGGAATGATTTTTTATAATTCAAGCCTATCGCTAAAAGATATTATTCACTTCGTCACCAAGCTCATAGTTTTAAAAAGTATTTGTTAGAGAGAGGTTTCACACTTGATATGAACCAAGAGACATCAATCATACAATATGCTCCAATGAAAATAGGAAGAAAATATTATTGAAATTATCAAAAGATATTTCAATTCATGCCACATCGAAAGAAGAATAAAGGTTCATGTTATAAATTTTGGGTGGATTACAATTTAGAGTTATTGTATTTCATTAATGTATTTTAAAACTTTTTATTTACTTTAGATTACAATTACATAGTTAATTATGACTATTAAGTATGAATGTTATAACTTTTGGAATGTCTTTAATAGTTTTATTGAAGCATATTATATGATTGATGTCTCTTCGTTCATATCAACACCCCTTATGATGTTACGTTATAAATGTAAAAAAGAATATTCTTATAACAAATGGGTTATGAAGATTTAAACGTCCTGCAACAAATGATGGAGTAAGTAATTCTCGAAAACCAACAAAAATATTATTATTTTATATAAAATTATGATCTCATTTTCATACAACATTTTATATTGTAGACAAACATCATATTTCTAAATATTTTAAACAAAACATCGAATCAAACGAGAGCAACTCATCCGGGGTTAAAAAAATTCGATGACCCAATAAATTCGATCAACTCAATCTTGTACCATTTGAATTGAATTATGAACCTATTTAAATTGGACGATGTTCAAATAAATAATATAATTACAATTACATATATTTATTTAATTATTATTTAATTTCATATAATTATTTATTCTCTCATCATTCTTAAAAACAACTTTTTAACTATTTTAAAAAGTAATTTTTTAAAATATATATTGAAATTGAGTCCAGAAACTCAATTAAATGTTTAAAAATAAATACATATATTTTATAAGTAACCTGAAAAAATTGAATAAATAATCCAAACAACACGAATCAATCTCAAATAATTGGGTTGGGTTGTTTAGGTTGAAAAAATTTACAAACCGAACAATTAAATTTAGTCTAAAAAAATATCCAAACGCAACCCAACTTGACCCATGAACACCCCTATTCATATCTTTTCTTTTTTCTTTTCTACTCTCGATCGTAAAATAATTTTAGTCTTAGTCACATATTTAGTTGTTTGAGTTACGTTTATTTAGTTAAAAAACACAGCATAAGCGAGAACAAGCTAGATTCAAATCTCTAATCTCTTGATCGATCTCATTAAGCTATATTTACTTAAATTGGATAAAATATAGATAAAATGGCCTGAGTCAATTATAGAAATCAACAATAAATTCATAAACATAAATGTGTATTATTTCTATTTTGATTTTTTACGAGCTAATCTTCATATTCCACATCGAAACTTCTACAAAATGACGAAAATACCCTTATAATCTGTAACATGTCAAGATCACGTAAAAATATCAATAAAAATGTCAACGAAAATTTAATACGTCGAAGACGAGTGGAGCCTATATCATTTTTGGTGCCTCTCGTCGACGAACACTTATAATGAGTTGGTGGGACCGGTTTGAAGTTAGGGTTTTGGAAGGCAATGGGAGGTGTGTTGTGTTCCAATATATGGCTTCAGAGGGAACAAATAAAAACCCTAAAATTTTGAACTCATTCAATTAAGTTTGTGATGTCCTCTATTGTCCCCTTTTTGGGTGTTTTTTCCCACTTAAATTCAATGCCCCTTTTGTCTCTAATTTGGTAGCCAAAGTGTGTAATACCCTTTTTCGATCTACGGTTTCACAACAATATATATTTGGATTTTTTCGGGAACTGAAAAATATTTGTTACGTGTATTTTAATGGTAAAGTTTATGACCTGATGTGACATGATAATTATAATGTTGGAATAGATGAGTATGGTCGAAAGCGTGAAATTGTGTTTTTTTATGTGAGATCTCACGTCGGTTTGAGAGAGAAATGTAGCATTCCTTATAAATGTATGAAAATCTCTCTCTAGTAGATACGTTTTAAAATCGTGAGACTAACAGTAATATATAATGGGCCAAAGTGGATAATATCTACTAGTAGTGGGCTTGAGCTGTTACAAATGGTATCAGAGCTAGACACCGAGCGATGTGCTAGTGAGGACGCTGGCCCCCAAATGGTGGACTGTGAGATCTCACGTCGATTGGAGAGGGAGATGAAGCATTCCTTATAAGGGTATGGAAAGCTCTCCCTAGTAGATGTGTTTTAAAACTATGAGGCTGATGATGATACGTAACGGGTCAAAGCAGACAACATCTATTAGCGGTGACCATCAGAGCTAGACACTGAGCGGTGTGCCAGCGATGACACTGAGCCCTCAAGGGGGTGGATTATGAGATCTCACATCAATTGGAGAAGGGAGCGAAGCATTCCTTATAAAGGTATGGAAATCTCTCTCTAGTAAACGCGTATTAAAATCATGAGGCTGATGGTACTACGTAATGGGCCAAAACGGACAATATTTACTGGCAATGGGCTCGAGCTATTACAAATGGTATCAGAGCAAGATACTGAACGATGTGCTAGTGAGGACGCTGGGCCCACAAGGAGTGGATTGTGAGATCCCAGCGGTTAGAGAGGGGGATGAAGCATTACTTGTAAGGGTGTGAAAACCTCTTCTTAGTAGACACATTTTAAAATCATGAGGCTGACGACAATACGTAACAGGATAAAGTGGACAATATCTCCTAGCGGTGGCCTCGAGCTGTTATAAATGATTAGATATAATGTTTTTTTTTCTCGTGAAAAGATGGGTTCATTAAATAATCAAAAGTAATTTTGAAAATTTTAAAAGTATCAGAAAACGCTAAACTATGGTGTAGTTTTAAGAAATTTTAAAAGTAATGATTTTAATAAAAGTATTTTGATCGTAAGTGCTATTGTATCATTAATGTTCGATTCCACCGTGCTTAAACTCATTACTTATACTGAATTGATGTCTCGAGCTAAATTAAAAATAAGATTAATTATCTTTCACCAGTGAGATGGGTCCCTCTATTTATATGTTTTCCTCTAACATATATATCAAGGTCATACGATGAGTCGAACGAGATTTAGAAGAGGGAGGTCACATACCTCAACTCGATTAGCTATGATCCTCTTGGAGAAGTCGGTCTTCTCATCGGCTCGACCCCAATGGTCAGTAGCATGCCTAATGGGCCCGCAGTCGTATCAATGGTATTAAGTAATCAAATTTATGTTAACCTAACCCTTGAAAACTTCAACAACAGAGACCAAATGGCAATACAAAATAGCCTTTGTATTAAAGAGTTGAAATATAAACAAACAAACACTTAAAACCAAATGAAATGACATTTAAATACATATCCAAATGCATATCAAAGAGTTCAACATTGCTACAAATATTATATATATATATATATATATATATAGTCTTTTTTTAATATATTAATGTTTTTGTTAAATTAAAGAAATATTTCATAAAATATTAAAAATATCTATCACTAATACGAACATAAATATTAAACTAAATTTATAAAGCTAATTTTTTTATATTTGAGAGTTACGTCTGTTTTTAATTCTTAGGGCTTCAAAAGTTTTAATTATGCGATTAAATTTTCACTAACCAAAAAATTTTACCAAATCATCTGTTAATCCACGCCCACTAAAAAATTCTTTTGATATTAGTGATGAGGTGTGACTGATGTTTGATATTTAAATTTTATGATATTTTATTTACTAATTAAAAAAATAACTCGACAGTCCAATCCAATAAACTCAAAATTTTGTATTGCTCCAAAATATTTTCATAATCCGACCCAATATAAGTCGAGTACACCTCTATTTGGCTTTTAGCGTTCAATTTTATCTCTAATAAATCTCTGAAAATTCAAATTTTTTAGAAATTAAATTGATTTATTTAAAATAACTTATCTAAACTTTTGATTTTATATTTAATAGATCAGTAAATTTTTATTTTAAAAAAAAAGACTAAAATTCAAACATTAACACCGAGTTCGAAACTCAACGATAAAACTTTTAATTTTTATTATATAAAATCGAGACATCGATATTTTCACGTCATTGATTAAAAAAAAATTAAAAAAAAAGTTAAAAGTTGAAAATCAAAAGTGTTGGGGCAAGTGGGGATTTATTAATGCAACAGCTTGGTGACAAATGAGGACAAAGAGGGGAATAATTGGGACCTAACTTTATTGCATTTTATGGATTTGGTAAACCTTTTTTTAATCATTCTTTTATCTCTTTTTGGTATCTTCATGTGATGTTATTGCTTTTATATTTAGTAATCAATCAATCAAATCAAAATCCAATTCCCGATTCCCGATTCCGCTAATATTAATATTCAAATAACTCTATAACCTATACGTCTTTTTTGTAATAGATATTATAAAATTGAGACGTCACGAGGATTATAACCTATGATTTTTAAATGTAGTTAGTAATGTTTTTTTTATAGCTATCTTTTAGTTGGACGAATTATTCGAAAAGGATCGTTTTACTGTAGCACAGACACGAAAATTTAAGCATCGATGTAACGAACTATGAGATCTCACATTGGTTGGAGAGGGGAATGAAGCATTTCTTATAAGGGTGCAGAAACCTCTCCCTACCCGACGTGTTTTAAATTATGAGACTGACAGCGATACGTAATGAGCCAAAACGGACAATATCTACCCGCGATGGGTTTAGGCTATTACATGACTCATGTCAACGATCTGGATCAGAATTCAAACATATAAGAGTGAAGATTATTCCAATGCTTGACTTAGTTCTTATGACTGAGTCACCGAGAATGAAGGTGTACCATTTTAGTATTTGTAGTAACTTTCAATTATATATATCATATTCTCATGATCTCGCACGTTCTCGTTCTAATTTTGCTCATTTTACAATTTTTTTTTTACACAAAATTTTATTCACAATTTATGACAAGAATTCAAAGAGGAAATAATACATTTTGTGGTTAGAGAATTAAGGCCATTGTGTTGTTAGTTTTGGGCCAAAATTTCAACATTATTTGAATTTTTTCAGTCTATTTGAATTTTTATATGCTATATAGGATTAGGAAACCTAGCTATATAAAGGTTTATTATGTTAATCTTCAAATATCTAATAATTAATTAATCGACTCCGTTCATGTTTTTCTTTCGAGTCTAGCTAAGGGATACAAATATTCAGTTGCATGCTCGAAGTAAATTGCTTTCACGGTGTTTTTTATTCTTGAACTAAAAAAATTCGTTCGACTATTCTAACAATTTTGATGAGAACACTTTGTATCTAATGTAACCTTTAATGTTGATTCACAAGTTGAGCGTGAGTTCGTTTATGTATAAGCTTATGAGTGTTTGTCGGGTCGGATTTAGATATTTTTTTAGATCCAACTCAATTATTCGAGTGGGAAATTTTTTCGATTAAATATTTTTTGTTGGGTTGGGCTGGATTCTTTATCATTTATTCAAATTTTTTATTTTAGTTCTACCGTTTTAGAGAACCAACAAACTAATCCAATTTATAAAATTTTATTTATTTGAATACAATTATATGAGTTGGATTAATTAAGTTTTTTGGGTCATCGAATATTTTGAACCCCACGTACCTTAAATAAATTTAAATTTCACGTTCATTTATCTTATATTCTTTAAGAATTTTCTTAGAACACGTCCGATGAAACATGTCAAAAGGATCTGGGCTGGTTTGTGGGGTAGCCTTCAATCTTGTAAAGAGTTCTAGTTAATGTGGTCATATTGCATAGGATGCAAGAAAATGTTGAGGTCAATACCGAACCAAAATTTCGAATCTTAAACATGATGACATTGCAAAATCTGAATTCTGAATCACATGACATTATTCATAATTTACAATAAACCAAATGGACTAGTAGATCTGAGGTTCAAATCTTCATTCGTCTACCCTAATCTAAAGGTATTTTAGAATTATTTTGTTCCGACATTAAACCAATGGTAAACTCAATTTAAATATCAAAAATATATTTTGTTCTTCCGAAAAAAACGTAATCATTTGCAGTAACAATTATCATTTTGAGTATAATTTTGATAAACAAAATGTTAAAAATATTATTGATTGCATAATCGTTACCAAATTATGATTAATTTATTTCTCTGGAGAAATACTTACCTAAATCGGAATTCAGCATCGGCTAGGGCGAGATATCTTTATATTCAATTTGCAGTTCATCGATCGACTCCGTCGCTACAACCACCGCCGGGAAAGATCGAATAAAACAGAGCAAAGAAAAATAACAGAATAACAGCAAGAGATAGTTCGATTACCAGCACGAATCAGGCCTCTGTGGCGAGAATTTCGGCGAAGAGAACCAGAGAGCGACGACTTTGATCGCCGGCTGAGATCCGCCGCCGTGGCGATCGATTTAAGGCATAGTGCTCTGAAGAGCCGATGACTGCGGAATCGATCCTGAAATCTGCCGAAATGTGGAATGAGAGAATGGCTGAAGTCGACGAGTATTCTGATTGTGGCGGTGGAAAATGAAGGTTGGGAGTTTTTTTTTTTTTTTTTTTTTTTTTTTTTTTTTTTTTTTTTTTTTTTTTTTTTTTTTTTTTTTTTT